AAATCATACATTTGCGCTTTCGAGCTTGTGAGACGTATTGGGTATTGTTGGGAATTTTACACAGATTTTAATGCAATTTTTCTTATTTAATGAAGAGCTTGTTTAATTGAACAGTAAAAACTTAGGATTAATTCAAAGAGCTTGTTTTGGTTAACTAAATTTTGGTAAAAGAGATTATACTAGAGCTTGTTAGTTTTTCTCAGTACCAGCTTAGATAGAACACATCTCAAATAATTAGAACTGGGCTAGTTGCATGACTAGGAAAGTCACAGCAGAACTAAAATCATTTTTTTATATTGATTTTCGTTTAATTTAATATCATTGCAATTTTAGTTTTTAGTATAATTTAAAATCCCTCTTATTAATAATTTATGTCTTGATTAGATTGTGCCTGATGCAAAAAGGCATTGATTTTTAGGCTGTGTCCCTGAGGATTCGATCCTGCTTCCTTATGCTATATTTTTAGTGCAACCAGCAGTGATAAATTTACTTGTTTAAATCGGGTGTGACAACGGGTCTTAACACACACTATCTGCTCAACTACTGGTATCTTAGTAATCTTGTGACTTTTCCTGATACAAGTATGGATCATATGCTTCCGGTAGTATAGGGCTTTACTATTTTTCACATTTATGCATACTCGTCCCGAGAATTGTCCCAAAGTTACCAAGTCACTATACAAGAAAATTTCACAAAGGAAATTAACAAATATTTATGTGTCCAAATGAGAACATGCAACAAAATTTTCCTAGACTCCACTAGGATATACTTTGTGTATATGTCTGATCTAGAGTATTTTATCTTTGCGCTCTTTATTTTATCGTTAGTATAAGTTTTCAATATCAAATAGGTCTTTAGGATTACATGATAGAAATTTTCAATTTTCCTAGAACCCACTTAGTCATATTTCATCAATAAGTCATTCAATGTTAAAATATAATAATATCTTGTCATCAAGATTTGTTTGGTGGCATAACCACATATAATCACCAAAATTATTATACTCACTTATCAAGACTTCTAGTCTTACAACAATCCTCTAAGGCTTACATGATAGGAATTCATAAATCCTTCATCGTGTATTCAACAACAATTCTACTTCAAAATTCTTCGTACAATTTCTTTCTAGTGTCAAGTTAGCATGGCACACTGCATTTGGATATATTTTTTGGTATGGAGACATATGCTCCAAATACTTGTATCGCCTCTTCACTTCATCATCTTCCGTAACATCGTCATTCCCTTAGGATTCAATATGCATCTCAACTGCATCTCCTTTTCACATATTCTTTATAGGGGTTACTCCTAGGAAGTTTGCATTTCGGCTGCATTTAAGCACGTTCCACTATCTTCAACTTAGTCCTTTGTCATTCCTCACACCAACATCCTTCTTTAGACAACACTATAGGTGTATTTCTACTTTAGCTAAGCACTGTAACTTACTAAATAAGTTACTCAACATTTCACTATACAATGACTATTTTCGTCATCTTAGTCTTGTATGTTAAATTCGGCTCAACATATTAAGGAACTCTCGTAAGAATGTGACAGAAGTCAATCATCACTTAGTATCATTGAATACCAAGTCAGAGCATCCTGTATAGGGTACAGATCAGCTCTTTACATGCTAATCAAACTGCATACTACCTCCCGTGAACAGACAAAGTCTCGGCCTAATAAGTCTGAAAACTTTGTCAGCCTTAATCTCTTTCTCTTTTCCAAATTCCTCTAAATTATACACAGCGTTGAATAAAAAATTAGCATCGATATCGCTGGATTATTTATCACCATCTTCAGTTCTTCTAAAACCGCTAGCAATCGATGCCTAAATCTGTTTGGCGGTGGAATTGTCAGGCAGTGGGACAGCTTCATGGATTACACCAAAGTTATATTATTCCGACAATCGAAAATTTACTTTGTACAATACTCCTCCAAACGTATTATTGTCTCACCGAATGCTCTCTAAAGGTATGATACCACTCTATAGGTACTATTTACGATACCACTCGATAGGTATTAATACACTATTTAAGAAGTTACCTATGTTAACTATCGTTCGTCTCCTTGAAAAGTTATATGCTGGTTCTAATACAATAAGTATATGTTTAGAATCTGTACACAAAATTTTTCGAATCTAGGTCGGAAACAAACCTTAAATCTCTTCAAGTAATAGAAATCTAGGTAAGTAACCTAAGGCATGCTATAATACATATCATTTAGCACATATTAGCATATAAGGCATCTCTCTTAAAGTATGCTAATGAACATCATCGTACGTAAGGTATTTAACCAAATGCATGCTATAAAATAAATCTCATTATTATATAATGGTTATTAAGACCTATACCTTAAGGTATTCTAGTGCTTGTGTCAATTTAGGTATACAACCTAAGATATATTAGAGACACATCTTAACATCATCACTTAACAATCTAATTTTAAGTCTAGAAATCCTCACAACTCCTAGTTCTCTTAAACTAATGTTTTGCTACCAACTGAGACATCCCTATTTTCCATAACCGAAAAAAAAATCATTTTACGCTTTTAAAATTCATCACAACTTTATTTGCAAAAAATCCTAGTACATTAAAAAAAATTAAGTACAAATGATTGTCTTAAAATAATGAAAACTCTAAGGATGTCATAATCGATACATAACATATCGTACAACGTAAAGACCTAACGATCCCGAACACTATTGTAGGTCTTCACTTCAATCATTCAACATCCAATTCAAGCTTTCAAGAGTCTTATCATCACTACCTTTTATGCATATAAATTGAGTGGGTCAAGTTAGGAAACCATATGAGATACATAAGGTTTTCAATCCCACAATGTTATTAAATTGTATATCTTAACCCAACAAAAATCAATTCTCATCAACAACACAGAAATATCATATATATAAGACAATTTATCCCATCGTGTCGATCATCACATACTGATGTACACTGATCTTATGAGATCTATTCAGATGGATCACTACAAACAATGAGTTGACGATAATGCTTCGGCAATTCCTTGGCAACAAATGAGGATCAATAAAAACAACAAATGAGAGGAATGGAGTAATTATATGAATATACACAATCCATACTTTCGTATCAGTGTGATTCAATAACACCGCACGACATTTAAGTCAGGGGTGGTCATACATACTCCGTTAGATGACTTAGACATGCCTAGTAGTGGTCTTATCCCAAGTATTATTGAATAGAGTTCCACCCTCAGATGCACCATATCCAACAATACAAAAAGAAGACTTAGACATACCTAGTAGTGGTTTGATACTGACATGCCCTATCAGGTAGTCTAAAAGATGTAACACCCGCAACTTCGGGCTAGATAATTTAGATATAATAACTGATGATTATTATAATTTGATCCCCTAAATGGGGACATCGCTAGTCTTGCGTGTTGCAGACTATATATTATAAGTCAATTTGAGAATTTATCTTAACCAAAATTATAGTAGATGTGACAAGGATTCCGTACATATAATGAACTCTTAGATCCGACTTCGTATGAAGAAGTTATGCTTCTTCGAAGTTTCACGATTAAACCGGCACGGATAAGCACATCATAAAAAGTGAATTTTAGATAGGATCCTTATAAGCCTAATTAATCTAACTGAAAGTCGTAGTAATCATAAAAGAAAACTCATGCAAATGGAGAATGTCCAAATCTGACTTCGTATGATGAAGTTATGATTTTTCAAAGTTTCAATGCAGCTGTGTTAGCACAGAAAAAGAAATTAAATCGGTTGATTCTTAGGAAAAACAATCCAAACGAAGATATCTTCAATACCTATCTGTCGATATAAAGACAGTTGAGAATGGATTTTGTATGAAAAAATTATGATTTTTATACAGACTTTAACACTCTTAGCTTGTTAAAATATAACTTTAAAAATAAATTGAGAATTAGCTGACGCGTCTAAATAATAGTTGTAATACTCATTAATATCTATGATTGGATATAAATAACGTCGAAAACGGAGCTCGTATGAAAAAGATATGATTTTTTGAAAAACTAGAAAAATACGTGTGTGCGGGTGCTAAGCGTGATGCGCAAGGGTTCTAGAAGTATGTGATGCGGATGAATCTAGACCTGACATGTGGCAAGCATTCGGAGGAACGACGTAGGCGCAAAGAGGCAACACGCCTCCTGGACTCTATATAAACCTTCCGAATTTTTCTATCATTACATGTGGGAGTGTATACCCCATATAGATCTATACATATTTTTCCCGCTCACTTAAGTTTTAACAATTATAGGTCTGGTTAGCTAAAGGTTATTTAGCTAACCGATGAATAATGCCTCATTTAACAACTCTTGATGCGTACTTGTGTTGATACTTTTACTTTTCTCGTTTGTTTGTGTTATGCTTAATCGATATATACTATTCTTTATATATGATTAAATTGGTATAGTATATCTTGTGCTATATATATATATATATATATATATATATATATATATATATATATATATATATATATATATAAAAAAGTTGGTATAGTTGTGTTGGTAGGATATTTAGGCATAGTAATAAATAGGTAGTAGGTACAATGATATCCAAATGTTTGACGAGGGTAACGACTAGGCTAAGCAGTTATCGCGGTCTAAATTTCAATAGCAATCACATGCCGCTATATAAAATCGTGTTTATCGCGGTGGTATAGCGGATTTTTAATATTATGTATAATTTATATTATATATTTATGCAAAATTTATATATTAGATTATTAATATTATATAGAATTAACTAGTAAAGAATCGCGTGATCGGTTTTTTTCTCAAGGCCTACCGGAAAATATGTTGTGTACAATTAAAAAAAATTCATAATTGCTAAAACACCACAAATATAAAACAATCATGAAGAAGCATTCAAGTAAAATGGAAGGAATCACATTCTTTCAACAATCAGCCATTCCATTCCATCACACTTAAGACAACACTTTTTTCCAAATGAAATGACTAATTTCATTAATATTTTCACCACAAGCAGATGTCACAAAAGTTATAAAATAATAAAACCAATTTAACCATAAAATATATAAAAGAATCGAATATATAGCTTTTAAGCAACCCAAAAGGAGCAAAAAGAGAAGGTGGTGATCCACTATTTAATTCATTTAGTTTCAACAATTTAATTTATTTTTTCCAATTTTACCCTTTGGTCTTTTGAATGTTCTATAGATCATTGAATTCAGGTTGATAATGTTGTCGTCGAGAAGATTCCCAATATCAGAGTTTAACATTATGTTTTTCCTTCTTAATAAGTACCCATTAAGGGGTATTAACATTGGACCTATAAAGGAGAAACAAAGAACATTATTAGATCACATAAAGGGTTTAGTTGAGAAAAAATCAAATAAGTTTGACTTGTGACCAACTTACCTTTGTTTGCTTAACATAAGTGAGTAACCTGCTCATATGGACCCATTTCAAATAATCTAGATCAGATCAAATTTTGCAATTCCATATAGTTAGGTATAAATGGATATTTATAAAATAAACATAAATATGTACGTAATGGAACAATGATTGCTTACGTGAAAGCATAAAATTACTAGTGGCTAGTTAAATACCTTTGATTGTTGCATCTCAGTAGAAATAGAACCATCACAATATTGCAACACAGGCGAACCTCATAAATTTATTCTTTCAGCTTATTTTACAGTTCTATGATTCATATATACCGTTACATTTCTTCTTGTATCACCAGTCAAAGAAACTGGAACTGCTTGACCTTCAGAATCCATAGTAACCGGATAACATAATCAAGCTGGATATTAAAATCTTCTTAAGTGAGTATAACTTTTACTAATTTTTTCTCAAATATCATTTATCCACACAATATTTTATACATATAGAACTTAATAGGAGTAAAAAAACAGGCTGTTAATGTGAACTAACCAAGAGAACATGTAGCTGCAAAACCTATTCCAGTTACTTCTTCACCAGCAACATCAGCTAGGGCTGAAGCTTTCTTCACATCAGTGTAGATTGCCTGTGAAGTATCAGTTGAACATTGATGAAATTGCATAATCTCCAAAAAAGAATAAATAGCAACGGAAACTACCTTTAAGGATGTGTTGCATCGTTCATACATGGTAGGAATTATTTTAAGAAAATGAGAAATAACAACATTGAAGGTATCATGGATCGAAGGTTGGGCGTTTATTGCATTTGTCACCAGAAAAAAATATGTGATGGCATGTGTTAATATGATATGGAAGATTGACTAAAATACCCTTTGGAACATATTCACTTGGAGAACGATTACACTTTGTTGATATGGTTCAACTACTAAAGGAACCGACATTATCACCTTTACCAGTTTTACTAACTATGTTTATTGCTTTTTCGTAAGTTAAATTCATAGTACACTTGAAGAACATATTAAATAGTGCAAAGTAATTTTATTATCTTTAAGATTATGTTGTTGAATATACTCAACACATCTCTGTTTTTAGTTGTTACACAATAGAGTACTGTTTTCGCACAATCACAGGTAATGAGGACCTGATCTTGCAATGGTGCAAGAGCATATGAGTATTCTTTGAGAGCTTGTCCTAAAAAATTATCTAAATAAACCATCAAAAAAATATATAAAGAGAAAACTCATGAAAATTTTCTACAATCTTCCTTTAAATCAAAGATATATACACATTCCCAACAAATTCTGATGGAATGTTCTCAAGACCTTCACCAAACTCGAGTCAGGGTGGGAGGAAGACAACCTTGCGAGATTGTGAAGTTGTGATTAGATTAGAATTGAATAACCCAGCCGATTAGGAAAAAAAAACAAATATGATTATTTTAAAGCTTTAAATGCAACTGATAAGGAAGAACAAATTTCAAGACATTAGAAATTTAAGATGACCAGATGCAAGCTAATTTAGTTAATACCTTTTCAGTTATATCTAATTATCCACTAATAACTGTAGTCTCATATGAGGGAGTCACCTTTTTTCAACTCAAAATGACTTTCTATAGAACTGGAAATCACTTACGATGAGAGTAATGAATAATGTCTCTTGACAATTTCACTTGGAAAGACTAAATTGTATTTTGAAGATAATATAAAAGGATGCATAAAGGAGCGTATGGTATAACTAATTTTTGCAACTTTGGCTAAAGCTCAATTGAAAATGAAGATACGAGGTAACAAAGATAGAAGAAAGACATATCTTATTACCTTCTGGTTTCACTTTCATTGTCCGTAAGAACATCCATTTCATCGAACAGTTGGTGGGCAACTGACACCATCTTTAACATCGTTTTATCAGAAGACGACTGGAGCTAAGAGGTGAGACACCATCTTCTAAAAGATCCCTAAATGTTACAAAAAAAGAATACAACATAAATTATACAGAGCTAGCGAATCTAGAACCAAAAACCACGTGGTTCATTATGTAATTAGAACGAAAAGAATATAAGAATAAAAGATACTAGTGCAGGTCGAATCGTACGCATTAAAACATTTAAACGTAATTTCAATAGTTACAATAAAGTTCTTACAAATGGACCCGACGAGGTGCGTAGCCTAGAGGAGACGTCGCAGTGTCGAACGCGGATATGCTGTCATCGTTAGTCGTTTCCGTTTCCTTATTTATTTATTTTTTTTATAATTTTAATGGATTTGGGCCATTTGGTTATTGCATTTTAAATGGACTAAAACATTGAGCTATTTTAAGGTAGATGGGAATAAAAATATAGACTCATACATTATGATACATTTTTTTTGTCAATGTATAAGAATATAAGGTAGGTCCTAGTAAATTTATAAGGTAGTTTCTTATTTTTCTTATATATTACTTACATTATTATTTAAAAAATAGGTGGGTCCTAGGACCCACCTTCACATATGGTAGATACGCCACTGAGCCATCTGTTTCAACATCGTATTTCAAGAGTCCGTCATAATAATAAGAAACCTGATCAAGAACGAATATAACACGTAGACATCACTTTAGGGTTATTCCGGGAGTTGTGAAGGAAGAAAGAAGGCGGCACTCGAACATCAGTTGTTGTGATCGTCCGGCTTCGACGACGATGGTGGTACGTGGCGGTGAAGGGATGTCGATGGTGCTGCGTTGGGGGTGTCTCATATGCGATGCGCCGGGGATTGGTCACTGCTATCTCCATCTCACAAGAGATTAGATCCTCAGAGAAAGGCGAGAAGGTGGAAGCAGAAAGAGCAGGAAAGTTGTGTGAGAATGTTAATTTCTCAATGTCGTGCCCAAGATACAAACGGCTAAATATATATACAAATACAGAGAGGTAATTACGGGTCTATCTAAGGTAAACCAATCAATTCTAACTAATTGAAAGATACATAGTAATCACAAGATACATGCCAATAATATGGGAGATATTATTGGCTAACATTCCCCCGCAGTTTGTGTCGTAGGTGAGCGGAGGCATAAACTGGATCGAAAACGTTGAAACAAATGTTTAGGTAGCCCCTTGGTGAAGATGTCCGCATATTGATAATCTGCCGGAACGTGAAGGATTTTAACAGTGCCAACGCGGACCTTCTCTCGAACAAAGTGTATATCCAGCTCAACGTGTTTAGTTCGTTGATGTTGCACTGGATTTTCAGCAACGTAGACGGCCGAGATGTTATCACAATAGATGAGTGTGACATGTCTAATAGGGATGTGCAGTTCGAGTAGAAGGTTTCTGATCCAACTGATTTCTGCGACAATGTTGGATACTCCTCTATATTCTGCTTCGGCACTAGATCGTGAAATCGTGGGTTGACGCTTTGAGGACCAAGAAATTAAGTTTGCACCCATGAATACACAGTAGCCAGAGGTGGACCAACGAGAATCGGGGCACCCACCCCAATCCGCATCTGAGTAGGCCGTAAGTTTAGTGGTTGAGGTGGGAGATATAATTAGACCCTGATTGATAGTACCTTTAATATACCTGAGGATCCGTTTGAGTAGCTGAAAGTGTGGTTCACGCGGTGCATGCATGAAGAGACAATTTTGTTGAACCGCATAGGATATGTCCGCTCGAGTGATGGTGAGATACTGCAATGCACCGGCTAAGCGACGATAGAAAGCCCCATCAGCGAACGGGGCACCTGTAGTAGCGCTGAGCTTGGATCCGATTTCAACCGGGGTGTTAACTGGCTTACAATTGGACATGTTAGCACGTGACAATATATCTGCTGCATATGTGGATTGTGTCAAGAAAAGTACACCCTTTTGTTTCTGGACAGCAATACCAAGAAAATGGTGTAAATCACCGAGATCGGTCATGTTAAACTCAACAGATAGTGATTTGATGATGTTTCGTAAGAGAGAGTCACTAGATGTTGTGAGTATTATATCGTCCACGTAGAGGAGTAAGTAAGCCATTTGATCGCCCTTGTGATATATAAATAACGAAGCATCACATATGCTACTCTTGAAGCCACATCTGGAAAGATAGCCTGCAAAACGCTGATACAATGCCTGTGGGGCTTGTTTCAAACCATATAGAGATTTGTTAAGCTTGCACACATATTTCAGGTGTGAGGAAGAAGTGAATCCTGGTGGTTGAAACATGTAGACGGTCTCTTTCAGATGCCCATGTAAGAATGCATTTTTGACATCTAGTTGGTGAATGGGCCATGCCTTGGATACTGCCAAGCTAAGGACTGTGCGTATTGTAGTGGGCTTAACCACAGGACTGAAAGTTTCATCACAGTCAATGCCTACAGTTTGACTCTTACCATTAACAACAAGTCGTGCCTTGTGTCGTTCCAAAGAACCGTCAGCATGGAACTTATGTTTGAATAACCACATGCAATGAATAATAGGAACATCCTTAGGTCTCGGTACAAGTTCCCACGTATTATTTGACAATAGGGCTTCATATTCATTGGTCATGGCATTTTTCCAGTTAGGGTCAGTGAGAGCGGTGAGATGTGATTTGGGTAATGGTGAGATAGTGGGAGATATTTTTGGTTAAAAGAGACAAGGTTTGACATGGTTTAAAAATCCCGGACTAGGACCACATTTTCATGGGATGAGTGGATGTTGTAGTGACGGGAGGTGGTGGGGGGTTGTTCGATTCATTCTGATGTGGTGGGGTAGGTGGGTGGTATTCAGATTGTGAAGGCGGGGAAGTAGTATGTGGGATGTTTGTTGTGGTTGATGGGTTTTGAGTAGGAGATCGTGTAGTATGCAAGGTGGGTTCATGTGGTTGACTGGTAGGAAAGTGGGGCGGGCTTATTGGGTCAGGTTGGATGGTGGAAGGTGTCTCATGGTTAGACATGGAAGTGGGTTGTGTAAATATGAGTGGAGAAGGGTCGAGAAACGTATGAGTGGGTGCATGTTTAGATGGGTTGGTAAAGGGAAATTGAGTTTCAACAAAAGTGACATGTCTAGAAAAAATAGTTTTTCCGGTTGAGATTTCTAGACACCGGTACTTGCGATAGTTGGCTGGGTAGCCAAGAAAGACACAGGAGGTGGAGCAGTGGGAAAGTTTGTGGGGACAAGTGGATGAAGTATTTGGATAACACAAGCAACCGAACACGCGAAGGTGTTCGTAGGATGGTTGGCGAAGGTAGAGTAGGGATGTGGGGGTGTGGAATTTATGGAGTTTTGTAGGAAGAATATTATGAAGATATGAGGCGGTGTGAAGAGCCTCAACCCAAAACGGGGACGGTAGATATGCATGGGTGAGTAATGTGAACATAATTTCATTTAGACGTCGAATCATATGTTCCGCTTTGCCGTTTTGTTGAGATGTGTGTGGGCACGAAAAACAAAATTGAATGCCATTTGTATTTGCAAAATTTTTTAAGTTGGTATTATCGAATTCCCCTCCCATGTCACATTGGAATGCTTGGATTGGCATCTGAAATTGGGTTGCAATATACTGATGAAAGTGAGTAAACTTAGTGAAAGTCTCAGATTTAAATTTTAAAGGATAAACCCACGTGTATTGTGTGAAATCATCCATTAAAACCATATAGTATTTTATAACCCGCATGACTGAGAGTAGGTGATGTCCATAGATCAGAATGTAAAATGGCAAACGGCACTAAAGTACGAGTTAAAGAATCCGAAAACGGTAAATGGTTATGTTTGGATAATTGACAAGAATGACAAACAGATGCTGAATTTATTTTATTTGCAAGAAATAAACTTTTTTGAACGAAGAAATTCCATGACAGGTTGACCTGGGTGTCCAAGTCGGTTGTGCCAAACGGGAGACTCTTTGGTTGACGCGAAGCAAGCGGTGGCGGAAGCATTAGGAGTGAGTGGGTAGAGGTCACCCGAACTGTTGTGACGACTCAGGATCATGCCATCCTTGAAATCCTTCACAGAAAATCCAAAGGGATCAAATTCAATGGTAGTGTAATTATCAATATTGAATCGACGCACAGATATAAGGTTTTTAATTATTTTAGGATTAAAAAGGACAGATTTAAGGTGGAGTGGTCTAGAGGGTGTGTGTATTATGGAAGATCATGAACCCATAACTGGAATTTTGTTACCATTTCCAACAATTATTGACGTTATTGTTCAATAAGTGGAGAAGTTGTTGAGTTTACCTTGATTATTCGTGACATGAGAAGTAGCGGCTGTGTCGAAATTCCAATTTTCATCAATCGTATCACCGGATTCCATTGAAAAAGCATGAACTGCATCAGCAAGTTATGTTGGTTCCAGTGGATCCACGTCTGTCAGATGAGCCTGGGCTGAGCGACTTCCTGGTTGGGCAGTAGGATGATTGTTATACTTGGATTTGGGCCTTTGTTCCCATGGTTGGACCCAATTTTGGGTTAGATATGGGCATGGAGGAGGTGTCCAGTAAGGTGGAGGAGAAAACTGTGGGGAGTAGGGATAATATGGGAGATGCGTAGGGTGAGTTGGGGCACGGTTGTTGGGCCACGAATGTTGGGGCTGAGGTGGGCCATATTGACCACGATTGGTGGGGCGGCCATTCCTTCCAGAATCACGACGTGACTAGTTATTGTTGGAGCGGCGGTTCTGGGTGTTACGGTTGGAGGAAGGCTGATGATTGCGGGAGTTGGGTTGTGGGGAAGTCATGGCCGCAACAACAATAGGTGTAGGTGTGACGTGTTCACGGGCTGCGATGCGGCGTGCCTCCGATTGGAGTTCTTCGACTGCCTCTTCCCAAGCCGGGAGAGTTTGATTCAAGATAGTTGTGATGGTGTCATACTCGCGCGGTAGGCCATGAACGAGGTGTAGAATCTGTTGGGTATCGTTAACAGGGCAGTCCACGGCAGCCAACTGATCTACCAAATCGCGGATGCGTTGACAATATGCCTCAAGAGATGGCATGGCAGCAAGTTTAAGGTTGGTCAGTTCATGTTGAAGGGCGGCTGCGAGAGGTCCTTTGTTGTTTAGAAACAATTTATTTACCCGTTTCCAGGCCTCATAGGCGGTAGATTCCTCAGTCAATACCCGGACAAGAAGATCATCTGTGAGTGTACCGTATATCCATTGTAAAACCACCGCATCGATCTTCGCCCAAGACGAGTATTCAGGGGTAGCTTCAGTAGGTTCCTTTGAACCGTCGATATGATTAATCACAGCGTACCCTCTAGCGTGAAGCATGAAAAGTTTAACCCACGATGAGTAAGAAACTTTGACGTCGTCGAGTAAACGAACTTTGTGTTGGATGTTTGTGACAGTATAATCTGGATGAAGAGTTTGGGTTTTGGGATCAACCTTGTTGGCTGAGTCGCCCATGGTGATGATGGAAGAGACCAAGGGATCAAAAAAGAAGGAAAAGAAAGGATGGAGGGTTGATCGAGATCACACCCTGGTGTCTGATACCATGTGAGAATGTTGATTTCTCAATGTCGTGCCCAAGATACAAACGGCTATATATATATATATATATATATATATATATATATATATATATATATATATATATATATATACAAATACAGAGAGGTAATTACGGGTCTATTTAAGGTAAACCAATCAATTCTAACTAATTGAAAGATACAGAGTAATCACAAGATACATGCCCATAATATGGGAGATATTATCCGCTAACAAGTTGTAGAAAGAAAGAGAATCGAGGCGGTGAGGTTAATAGGTGGTGGAGGGACCAAATATACAAAAGTATCAAGCGAGTGAGATGAGGCTGTGGAGGAAAGAAGGCGT